CATTTATTCATTTAGCTGACTCTTTTATCCAAAACGCCTTACAGTTGCTATATATGTCAGAAGTCGCACGCCTCTGGACCAACTAAGGGTTAAGTGTCTTGCTCTGAGACACATTGGTGTCTCACAGTGGATCTGAACCTGGGTCTCTCACACCTAAGGCATGTGTCTTGTCCACTGCACCATCACCTCTTCAGAAGCTTGCGTTCTGCAAGTGAACGGCTTCTCATGGTGCCATCCCAAAGAGGCACAAAATCACTTTGACAGACCTTAACCCTGACTGCTTCAAGCTGGTGGAAATACCTGGCTAACTCAACCCAAGCTGCTGAGTGCAACACGGCTTTCACACTGGCAGTTTAGTTTGAAATGGGGCACAATTCGCATTATAAATTGCGAATTACAGCCATTAAACATGGCTGTGGTTACACGAGGTAAAAACGATATAAATACTGTTCGTTTTCTCACACAAACCGCTCGTTTCGTGTCTTAGGTCATCAATGTGTACTTACATTTACGAGTCATTAAATCAAGTTTAATTTGGACTTCTCTGTGCATGCTCTTTGAGGTGGACCCCCTATACCTGCACTATATGACTGACAGACAACAACGGTTTGACCGAAAAATATCAAAATTGAAAATAGTGTGGAAACAAAGACACCTACATCTTGGATGCCCTTGAAGTAAGCTAAAACATATCAAAAATTTATTTCAAAGTGAACTATCCCTTTAAATAAACACATGATATACATGAGTGCAATCAGGGCAGCAAATGAATGGTCAAATGTCTCCTGTAAAGTTCTGTTTTCCATCATGTGCCGTAATCATGTGCCGGACACATTTGTGATGACGTAAGAAGATGAACACAGCTGTACGCGTAAACATTGTGTATCGTATCAGCGTTTTGTCCAGACGGATCCGGCGTTTTGGGAGCCAGAAACCGCTATTTTTTTTTTTAAACCAGGTCCCAGAGTGAATAAATCTGAAAACGACACCATTGCATTTTTGTGTGTACAGCCAATCATATATTGTGAAACGATGAAGTCATCATCCCACATGTCGACCCTAGTCAGACACCGCTACGTCACATAACAGCAACTGCGGACTAAATGCTTGTGTTTGTGCTGCAGAAGCTACTGAGCCTCTTTTATTTCATTATTTATTATTTAATTGAATGCATTTTTATTTATTTCTTTCTTATGCTATGATGCTTGTCTGTTGTCTGATTAAGACATTTCATTGTTTTTTTTTTTGTACCAGGCCATTTATTACGGAAGCCCTGAACCGCAACCTAAAAAAAAAAAAGTCAGTAAAAAAAAAAAAAAAAAAATCTGTAAAAAAAAAAAATCAAAAAAAAAAAAAAAAATCTAGCATTTCTAAATTAAAGTCGAAATGTTTCGAGATTAAAGTCGAAATGTTTCGAGATTAAAGTCGGAATGTTTCGAGATTAAAGTCGGAATGTTTCGAGATTAAAGTCGGAATGTTTCGAGATTAAAGTCGAAATGTTTCGAGATTAAAGTCGAAATGTTTCGAGATTAAAGTCGAAACATTGTGCATTTATAACAGTGCGCGTCCACTGGCTCAGAGCGAGCGCGTGAAGTCGAACTGCCATGGATAAACACAAAATAGTAGCTTTTTACTTTTATCTGAATTACTTATCTTACTTTATCGTTATAAAATATAATGCGCCGGAATAGACTTTAGCCTATAGGAAAACCAACACGGAAAACACTTTTCAGACTGGATGGAGAAATCCAGCTTTATGAATGAATGAATGAATGAATGAATAGGGCATTTATATAGCGCTTTCATATATGCCTACACTCAAAGTGCTTTACAATCATATCAGAGAATCTCTCCTCAACCATAAGTGGTTATTAAATGATTGGATACAGAATGATGCACTTAAAATGTATCCAGAGCGTATTTACGTTGAAGAGGGAGACCGAACAGTTACTGTTGTGTTCTCGACCCAGATAGTGTTGACTAGACGAGCACGAAAACACCTCAGAAACACTGCCACTAGCACGTGTGACGTGTGTAGAATTTTGTTGAAAGCCCAGATAAAAGTAAAAAGCTACTATTTTGTGTTTAACCATGGCAGTTCGACTTCACACACACACACACACACACACACGCGCGCGCGCTCTGAGCCAGTGGACGCGCACTATTATGAATGCACAATGTTTCGACTTTAATCTCGAAACATTTCGACTTTAATCTCGAAACATTTCGACTTTAATCTCGAAACATTTCAACTTTAATCTCGAAACATTCCGACTTTAATCTCGAAACATTTCGACTTTAATCTCGAAACATTTCGACTTTAATCTCGAAATGCTAGATTTTTTTTTTTTTTTTTACAGATTTTTTTTTTTTTTTTTTACAGATTTTTTTTTTTTTTAGGTTGCGGTTCAGGGCTTCCGTAATTTATGGTTGTTTATATTGTTCAATAAAGTTCTTGGTAAAATAGAAAATGAAAAAAAAAAAAAAAAAAAAATTTCAGCTACTGAGCCTGTTATGATTGTATACAGTGCACATGGTTCATGTATAAGTCTTCTTCTGTTTTTAGTGTATCTCTATGGCAGAATTACAGCGCCACATACTGGTCTGGTCTGGTTTTGTGTGTACGGAGATATTTGTCTGCGTAGACGGATGACTTGTTTACGGATTTTTTTTTAAGAACGAGGTAAAAAAAAAAGAGATCAGATATGTGTACTGTGCTAGACTAAATGCGACTATTGTTGGTTTGATTGCTTTTATTGCTCTCCTCATTTGTAAGTTGCTTTGGATAAAAGCGTCTGCTCAGTGATCGAATGTAAATGTGTATGTCGTGATCTATTCCATCCAGAAAAACTTATAAACATTACAGAACTGTTCGCACTCAGAATTTGTTTCTTGTTTTCTGACCTTGCATTTACATTTTAATAGCATTACAAAGCATTCAGCCTGTAAGCTGAAACGTTGCATTTGATGATTCATCCATCAGTCTTTTTGCACAGTAAAGCTGTGGTTTGTGCTGTACTCTGTGTCTTAATCTGGTATTCAGCGTGCCATAGTCTGACTCCCTCTTGGCATGACATTATTGCAGATATGCTCAGCAGAGTGGTGAGCGGAGCTGCATTTGGATTCCTAGATCATTCAGTCGATAAGTCTTGATTGCCTGAGCAGTGGAGGGAATGGTTGTAATCCTGAGGGATTTCTCCAGCGGCCATGCTGGCTGTAGATTGCTAGAAACGCCTTTTTCAGAAACCATTTTTCATTTATTTGATCCTTTTTCTCACACCACAAATGGTTTTGAGCTCCTACCTGAAATGCCAGATTGATAAACTATCTGAATGTGATGGTGCAGATTTTTCCAGTCTCACCAGGGACTTTAGTAAAATGCCACCACTGTCACCAGTAAATCTTTGACCTTTCTTCCTTTTTCTTCTAGACCATTGGAAATACATTGTGTACATGTTAATGTATTTTGCTCAAAACGAAGCCCTCAGTTTAGCTGCCTTTGAAATCAACTGTTGGTGAGAAAGCGAAGGAGAGCCACACCAGCTGTTGACCGTGTCTTTTTGTGTTTACAATCTCGCTGGAGATATAGTGGACAAGGAGTAATGCCACGCTGGGATTGTTTACCATGGCAATGTTGATCAAGCTGAAAAAGGAGTCTTTGGAAAGGATCCCCTGTACATCAACCTGTTCATGTTATCAAACAAATAAAAACTGACCATGTATGATTTTTGACCAGATCCATCCATCCATCCATCCATCCATCCATCCATCCATCCATCCATCTATCCATCTATCTATCTATCCGTGTATCCGTCTGTCCGTCCATCCATCCATCCATCCATCCATCCATCCATCCATCCATCCATCCATCCATCCATTCATCCATCCACACACCCATTCATGCAGCGTGTTGATCCCAGGAAATTGCCAGAGCGCCTTCTGTGTGAACGCAAATACGACCCGGGATTGATACCGGGCCGGCATCGATGCCGGGTTGGAGACCTAGTAACATTGCCGGAATCAGTCCCGGAACTCGCGCTGTGTGAACAAAAGTGAACGCACTCACAGATCCCGGCAAATCACTGGCAGTGTGGATGAACCGAAATCAAACAATCCCAGGACAAATGCCAGGTCACTTTATCCGTGTATTTTCCGGAATCTCTGTGTGAAAGGGGCTTAGCTTATCCATCCATCCATCCATCCATATATCCCTCCCTTTAATCCATTCACTTATTCACTATTCCTCCATTTTTATTTATTTTCTTATTCTTTTAGTCACTGATTTATTCCTTTATTTGTATTAATTCCTTCAATTTCATTTAAATTAATTTGAATTTATTTATGTATTTTAATAGTATTTAATACATTTAATTATAATTATAAATACATTATTAATACATTTAAAGTCTTATAATTTCATTTAGATTTAATTAAACATAACATTTCAATTCAACTTCTTTAAGATATTTCATTTATTTTCAATAAACTCTGAAAAATGATTTGAATATGACTTTTAACATGCCTATATCTGTTGAATTACCAATCTGTATGAAACATATTTTTTTTTCTTCTTTAAATCATTTGCATGATTTCTGTTTGTTTTGAGGATACATCATCACACTGAACTTGTGTTGATATGTATGCTGTTTGCCACACATTAATGTGTCGGTTTCTGTTTTGTACCTCTTTAGTTATAATGGGCATCCTCACACAGCATCCATTGGTACAGTTTTTTTTTTTTTTTTTTTTTTTTTTTTAAGCAGGCTACTTTGTAAACTCGGATGCATCATCACAAATTGCTGTGTGAATATTTGAAGCTTAATTATCCAGAGAGATTTTCTTATGGCCTTTTGCATTAAGGCATGAGGCCATTTATAACCCTGATTTGACCACAATTAAGGTTGTGTATAGTACAAAGCTGTCTCATATTATCTATTTATTTCTCTGTTCTCATTCGATTCTTTCTTTCCTTCTTGTTTTTCTCTCTGTCGTGTACCCAGCATGTGTCTGAGCTGTTGGCGGTGGTGCGGCTTCCGTTTATTCATCCCAGCTACCTGCTGAACGTGGTGGACAACGAGGAGCTGATTAAATCTTCTGAGGCCTGCAGAGATCTGGTGAACGAAGCCAAGCGCTACCACATGCTGCCACATGCCCGCCAAGAGATGCAGACGCCCAGAACTCGCCCGCGACTGTCTGCCGGTACATTCTTAGCATGGCTTATAGTTTCTTTAAGCTTAACGAGTGACACACTAGCGCTGTTCTGAGCTACCTTGCCGTCTACAGCCTACATAGTCTTCTAAGGTATCATGACTGAAATGGAGCCTCTTAAGCAGCCAAGTTGTAATGTCCTACATAGATAGCAACTCCATATAATTGGATGAGCTAAAAATGTAATGCTCTAAAAAGCATAAAAATATATAGCCTTCACAAAAATCTTTTAATTTTTTTTAAAGGGGTGGTAAAGTATGATTTAACTTTTTTAATTTTAGTTAGTGTGTAATGTTACTGTTTGACCATAAACAACATTAGCAAAGTTACAACGCATAAAGTTTTAAACAAAGAAAAATATTTGCTTTTAAAGAAAAGGACTACAATAAACGGCTGATAGGGACTACACGACATTCTAACTAGCATCACCAACCTGCTCGTTTGCTAGGTTAAAGGCGGGCGTACACGGTACGAATTCTGACGGTCGGAAGATCGTGTGTCCAGGCACACTTTACGAGTGAGTTTATCCGAAAATCGTACGGAGGCAGTGATATACGACGCGATTTTACGACCTGCTGAATTCCAAAGAAATAGCATAAAGTTCCGCGCTAAAAACTCTCATAACTGCATATAAAATATGATACAAGCTGTGATTATTTTGCTATAGGCTCCTTTTCAGCACCGGGAAACGGACGTCCGGTCACCCTTGTGTGTGTGTGTGTGTGAATGAGTTAAAAAACGTAGTTAGGCAACACATTCAAAAATCAAATTTCAAGCTCTCTGAATGATTAATTAGCCATATAAACCACCTCATGTGAGTGTTTGCAATTCATTTTGCTGAGAGAAGCTATAGCACCGTGAATGGGGCTTGAGTGAGCTTGAGCGCGTTGTGAGTGAGGGCGCGGGTGCCAGATCCCGTGTTGCCAGATCCACATAATGGAAAGGTGACAGTATCTGGACTTGTTTTCTGGACTTTAGGAATTTATTAAAGTGGTTCGTAATATATTCATCTTATGTCCAAACACAAGCTTTGAACTTATTTCGGATTTTTATATAATTTCTGTTTTTGTTAGTTTTTGCTTGTTTTTCGTAGCAATATCTGGCAACATTGTTCTGTCGGCATTAATAAAAAAAAAGCTTAGGCTGTAGACAAACTGTAATTGCTTTTAGGAAGATACAAACGTAATGATCATCGTGACGTGTAAGAATCTGTAAGAAATGTATAACACTATCAAAAACAATAGTATAAGCCTAGATATTTCAGAATGAAATGTGCCAAATACTGGCCAGTAGGAACAAGGCAGATGCTGTTTAGTTAACCTTTCACAAAGTCATCATAAAAACATTAATTGAAGCAGTGTTTCTAGTAGTCCACACCATTTTCGTCTTTCTTCTGTGGATTTCCTCAGCTTCTGATTGGTCAAGTTCAGATAGATCGACAAATCGGCTCATTCAACCGCACACACCTCACGAATGCAAGCCGGCAGCTCCCGAACTTTTTCGCCATGCTTAAAAATTATCGGGAGGTCGAGAGGTGCTTGGCTCGGCTCGTATCTTCCTCGCACACGATACGAGCCGCGACATGCGAGCATAACCGATTTACGCGCGATTTCTTCCGAGTGAAAAAAATCATCTGCGAGCTCGTAAAACAGCAAAAAATTGCACCGTGTACACCCGCCTTAAAGGGTTAGTTCACCCAAACATGAAAATTCTGTCAGTATTTACTCACCCTCATGTTGTTCCTACCCCGTAAGACCTTCGTTCATCTTCGCAACACAAATTTAAATATTTGTGATTAAATCTGAGAGCTGGATCACTCTTGCATACTAGTCCATAGGCTTCTTGAGGGATTGAAACTTGCCGGCCATGAAAAGTTATTAAAGACATCGTTAAAATAGTCCAAGTGACTTCAGTGGCTCAATCTTAACTTTATCAAACGACGAGAACACTTTTTGTTTGCAAAAATCAACAAAAATAATGACTTTATTTCAACTATTCATTTACTTCTCGCTCTGCCTCGAGTTAGGTTACTAGTTTAACTGCGTAAGCTTCTGTTATTGTATGTCACACGCATCACACACATGACCAGCGTCGGCCAATAGTGAGCCTACCTGTGACGTAGCTCTACGCTATCACACTACGTTAACTGACTAGAGGCTCATAGAGAAGGAAGTGAATAGTTGAAATAAAGTCGCTATTTTTGTTTGTTTTTGCACACATAAAGTATTCTCGTCCCTTGATAAAATTAAGATTGAAATAAAATTAAGTCACTTAAATAGGTGAAGTCACCTATTTTAACGATGTATTTAATAACTTTTCGAGGCCGGCAAGTTTCAATTCCTCGAAGCCTATGGACTAGTATGCAGGAGTGATCCAGCTCTCAGATTTCATCAAAAATATCTTAATTTGTGTTCCGAAGATGAACGAAGGTCTTACGGGGTTGGAAAAACATGAGGGTAAATACTGACAGAATTTTCATTTTTGGGTGAACTAACCCTTAAAAGCCAACAAGCAGTATTCCATGATCATATATTTATATATACAATATTAATATTTTATATTGTAATCTTTTTATTTTCAATATTTGGCATGTTTGTGTGCTGCTTCACATGCCCTATGTGTGTAATAAGAAAAGTGTATGTGCGCGTTGTGGACCCGCCTATAAGCGCACATTACTAACGCACCTTTTAAAGGGGTCATGAACTGGCTTTTTAAATTTTATTATATTGTTGTCTGAGGTCAACTTATGACGTTCGCTTGGTTTTTGCATTCAAAAACATCAAAATGAATAAGTAATAGGCTATTTTCTACCCCTTTTTTGAGCATAGCTGAAAAACACTCGGTTTTTATGGGCGTCTCGCACTGAAGACTTCGAAGTAAACGCCCACTGCTGTGAGTGGATCAACTAATAATTATACCATTTTTCATATTATGAGTTTCAACTCACTCGTCGGTGCACTGGGGAAAATTGTTTTGAAAACGTCCAAATGTTGTAAAAATGTTGTAAAATGGCAACCGGAATGATTCGCCCATACATGTTCGACCCAGAGTCCGTGTGTTGCACCATTCCTGTCAGATCCAATATAGACAGCACAGCACTGTTCTTTAATCTTAATTGGTCTGCAAATCCAGTCTTGTTTACAAAACAATCCTCAGTGAAATGAAGCGAACAGACGGACAATGTTTTACCCTCATCAAGTGGAACGTCAATAAAAATTAAAGTTTAACCATGCAGTCCTATTGGAATCCAGAGGAAGCTTATGCAGCGACTGTCTTCTTCCACAATCAGGCACTGCACAATATTCTGTATTGCTCGGTAGCTCGATCCGGTTTGTCATCACGAGGTAAGCCTATGTTATTTAGCTATGTGTGAATGCGCGAATCGGTGAGCGGGGCTAAACCGGCTGTGTTGATCCTCTTCTCCTGCAGGGATGGTGTTTTATCGTCTTTGACGTCATAGTTCCTCACTTTGAAAAACGAGTCGTTTGCTGAGGCTGGTGTTAATAAAAGCTTTCATTGGACTAACAAGGACGTTTTCAGTTCTGAAACTTAGATTTCCCAGTTCATCACCCCTTTTAAAAACAAAAACAAAATATTGCGCCATTGACTATAGACTAGATTTCAGTTGGTCAATGGCGCAGTCTATGCCTCAAAATAGCAACACGCCAACAATGCACCTGAACACACATCGTTTTCAGACTAGCCCGCATATGGGTGCACAAATGGGTGCAAATCCATTTGCTATTTAAACAACATGGCTCAGGACATGAAAATGATAACCGAGTCGGACAGGAACTAGCATAAAACACTTAATGTACAATAACAACATATTTCCCCAGGTGATTATTCACAAGTTTTCTGAAATATTTAAATATGATATGAGTCATTATCTAATGAAATATGCACTAATTTGCACACATTTCAGAAGAGAAATCTGAACACTGGATAAAACCAGTTCCAAAATTCTTGTTTTATTTTGTTGACATGTAAGAGTTCAAGTTTTTTACAGAGGGGATTTTGGATATCTCTTTTTATCACTCCATAAATCAGAAAATACTCTTAACAGAGACTGAAAAAAACGTCATGTTTTAGGAGTAAAATATTATAATAATCAGGTGAATAGAATGTGAGCAAACTGCTCTGTTAAATCCATCATAATATGGATAGGAGTAAAATGTCACGGGGTGGGTGCAGGCAGAAGAACAGGCGGATTCCCAAGAGCTCCAATACAAAGTTTTAATACAAATAAACTGAAGACAGGCAGGCAGAACACAGCGTAACATTCACATTGACCGACAACGACAGAGAGGAACTGAACAAACTAAATACACAGAGAAATTAAGCTAAATGAGGTGAACACAGGTGCAGATGATAATGACAGGACGAGGAACAGGTGGCTGATTGGGGAGTGAGTCCGGGAGTAGAAACAAAAGGATCCGGGGAAGTGTGGTGCAGATGACGGGACACACTGGTGAGGACGACAGACTGTGACATTACTCCCCCCTCCCGGAAGGCGTGGCCTCACGCCGTAACATCAATGGGGAGGGGGGGTGGGCGCCCTGGAGGCTGTGGAGGGCGTGGTCAGGAGGGAGAAGCCCCCCAGGGCGGAGCAGGCTGAGGGCGAGACCAGGGCGGAGCAGGCTGAGGGCGAGGCCAGGGCGGAGCAGGCTGAGGGCGTCCCCAGGGTGGAGCAGGCTGAGGGCGTCCCAGGGCGGAGCAGGCTGAGGGTGAGACCAGGGCGGAGCAGGCTGAGGGCGAGACCAGGGCGGAGCAGGCTGAGGGCGAGACCAGGGCGGAGCAGATGGAGGGTGAGACCAGGGCGGAGCAGAAGGAGGGAGGACCCCTGGTGGAGCCGATGGTAGTGGGGCTGACAACACCAGGGGGCCGACTGACAGGGGCGGAGCAGATGGGAGAGGAGACCAGGGTGTAGCTGAGGGACAGACGACATTGGGTGCTGAGGAGGGACCGAGGGACCATGGTGACACCGTAGG